TTTCCCAGCCTGACCTCCAGCCCCTGGTTTCCCAGCACACACCACAGCACCTGATGGTTATGGATGAGTTTCTGATGCCTTACGGTGGCAGAAAGGCTTCATTAAGATGTAAAATGTTTCTAGACAGGCCCAGCCTAGTGTGTGAAAAGAAGACTGGGGGAACACAGCCCACATCCCAGGCCCCAGATATTTTTCTGCTGTGGTGGAAAGGGGGAACAAGCCTGCAACAAGGATGGTGCCACAGGAGAACCTGATGGACCTCAGAAGGGAGGGAGGGCAACATCAGGGCTGAGGGTGGAGCTGCAGGGTCCCCACTGCAGAATGAGACAAAGAGAGAAGGACAGACCCTCAGGGCCTCTCCCAAATGCCTCACCATGACCAGGATGCCCTCCAGCCACAGCACTCCCATGCTGCCACCGCCAACCTCCCACCACAGCCGTGCCCAGGCTCACCCGAGCTGTGCAGGGAGATGCCCGTCACCCTGGCTGAGATGACATTGGCTTTGGTCAGCTTCAGCAGCCCCGAACACACCAGCTTGTTCCCTCCTTCCACCGCCCAGGTGCTGCCCTGGGCTCCCGCCAGCGACATGGCCCCTGCAGAGAGGAAGACGAGGGTGGCTCCACAGCCTGGCCGCAGAGGGGACACTGAGCAGTGTCACACAGCAACAGCAGGTGGCTTCACCTGCGAAGGCGGGCACCAGCACGGACTGGCCGTAGCTGGAGCGCAGGACGGCGGCGATGACATCGTCCACGAAGCGCTGGGTGACACCGACCTCCAGCAGGGACTCGGCCACCGAGCGCTGGGTCATGTTCACAAAGGCCTCCCCGCCCAGCGAGCGCAGCAGCTCCTCCAGGCTGGAGAAGGCGTAGCCGTGGGCCTGGTACTTGTAGATCCTGGAGGGGACAGGAGCAGGGGGCACCCGGTGATGCCCTGGTGCCAGGGACACCCCCCCAGCCCCACGGGCTGTCCTACCTCATGAACTTCTCCATCACCTCCTCCACCCACATCTGCAGGCGCAGGAAGCTGATGCCATAGTGCCACCAGAGGCGGAAGAGGTTGAGCAGGTACCAGTCGGTCTCCTCCAGGACAAAGTGCTCCCCGCTGAAGATGGCGCTTTTCCCGGCCACCTCCCGCCGGTGCTTGAGGCCTGCGGGAGCACAGGGACTGCGTGGCTGCCCCTCCCTGGGGCTAAAGGCCAGCACTGGACACATCCCAGCAGGGATAGGGGCAAGGATGCTCTTGGAGGAGCATCACGAATGAGGGACCCCAAGGCACAGGTTCCCAGCCACATCATGTTGGGGCATCTCATGGAGCTGCTGCTGGCGACTGGGACAGACTGGCAGGAGTTTGTGAACAACCACCCAACACTAATGCTAGCAGACCCCCTGCTGGTGACCACCCTGTCCCCTTCTCTCTCCAGGGCACAACAGGAGAGACAGCAAGGAGATCATCACATTCCTTGGGTGCCAAGGGGGCCTGGCAGAAACCCTCCCCACTACCCCAAGCACAGAGCCCGGGGATGTCCAAACACCCCAGCCCAGCAAGGCAGCCCATGCAAGCGCTGGGACGCCCAGTCTCACCCAGGATCTTGACGAAGTCCTGCATGTGGAGGCTGAGGGCGTGGATGGAGGCTCCGCGGCTCTCATACTGCTGCTTGTTGACGGTGACGGTGG